CATTAAATATTTAGCAAATCTCTTGTCTGATACTTTTTCTCTAAAAAAAAAAAATGTAAATAGGTTACAAGTCTCATGAATTGTATTTGAAATGGTAAACTTTTCGTTCAGATTTGCAACATGAACTTGAAGATTTCATAGATAGTCAGTATTTTTTAAGCAAAATATATTTTAAATTTTGATTTCATTTAAAATAATTAACACTAATAAAAGAATTTTTTTTTTACAAAACTAAAGCTTACTAATTNATTTTAAATTGAAACTTTTGTATTCATCTGTAAAATTTTTAAATAAAATTTCGGAAAAACATATAAAAAAATTACATACTGATTTTAATTAAAAATAAAAATTTAGTGTTTAATGATTTTTTAAAGTAAATGTTAAAATTTGAATTTTAATTTATTAAGAAACAAACTTTACACAAGTAAACTTGCGAAAGCCGAAACTGCACAAGATTCTATAAACTTTCTGGCTTAAATGAAACAAAGAAATAGTCATTTTTAGACATAGTATTTATAATATTTACTGGCTTGAAAATAAAAGGAAACAGACGTAGAATGTAAAATATACATTCATGTATACATTCTGAACAGAAATAAATAAATAAACAAGAATTGTGAACCAAGTACGCGTGTTCTAAGTGAAACTTCTCACTGAAAACATAGACTACAGACGCCATCTCTGTTGGTTTACTCGCTCTAGCTCGATAGTTTCAAGCTCTCTGCTTTTTACTTCTTCGTAATTAATGGTGTGATAGTTAAAATTTCGGTAATATGTTATTTTTAAAAAGTGTTAACATTGGGAAAACAGAGCACTGTTTCTGCTGTAAAGACAGAAATGGACTTCGAACAAGAACAAACGCGCGTAATGTGTAGCAAAAATTCGAACGGAAACAGAAAACGTTACAGCCTAAAATTGTAAATTCTTACAGAAATTCAGAAGTTTCTCATAAAATCATAAAATTAAACTTATCAAGTTTCTTCTTTTGCACACTGAAAATTTGTATATCAAAATATAGCCATTAGGACATCTCTTGCGATCCCATTCGCTCTAGTCACGAAGACCTATTTCATTTCGAAAATGGCAGATACTCTTCGCCACTTGCCTGAGTAAGAACCAAAATATATTTAAATTTATTGTAAAATTTAATGTAGATATTCGAGATTACTTATTAAATTTTACTAGTTTTTTTTTTTTAAAACACATTTCACTTCCTTGCCAGTAGTGCATGCAAAATTTATATCAGAAAAGTGCATCGGTGCAAAGTGGATTAATTGAACGAAATGATTAGAATTAATTATAGTACCGTATTAGTTACGGAAAATTAACGAAACTTTTCAAGACGATAAAGATTAATTTATGCATTTATGAATAAAATAGAATTCTCGTTATATTCGATTTTTTTACTTTCTTTTTCCGTTATAAGAAGGGAAAGTATTAGAATCGTGTCAAATGTTACCCTCCGAGTAATTTGCAAATCTCCACGTTTTGAGACCTCTTGAACCCCCAAAATTAAAAAAAAAAAAAAAAGGCAAAAAAAAAATTCCGTGAATATGTATGTATGTGTATGTAGGTATGGGTGTAAGGGTGTGTGTGTTGGCGTCTATTTCGCTTAATTCCTTAACGTCGACTATGATAATATTTAATTAAACTATTTCCTAAAATTAATTATCACAAATAAAATAAATGTCGATAGATTTGATTTCATTTCATTTCTAATGTCCTTGTGCCAGGCTTTTCTATTCAATACTTGTTTGAGTTTCCGTCTTTGACAGATCTTAATAACAAAAGTACAATATAACACATACAGCTTTCCGTTCACTTCTCAAAAGTTCTGCCTTAGGCTGATTTCGCACCAAACTAACGCATGCCATTCCAGTCCTGACGCGACTGGAATGGACTTTACTATTGGAATTTTCATCAGTTTAGATCAGTCTTTTGCCGGTGCTAGGCATATATTTTCAAACATTATTCTATTATTATAATATTTATGTTAGAATTGTGACGTAATATTATTATGTTACATTATTCGTGACATTAACTAGCAATAGAATATTTTCATTCATGTCAGCAAACTGTGATCACATCACGTATTAATTAATATAACTGATATTAGGAAATCAGTTACGAATCATTTCTTGATTTAAAAATCACATTATCGCTTTTGACTACTTGAGTAGCGCAAAAATCTGTGCCTCCCATTGACATGACTGATGTGACTGGACTGGTTTTGGTATGAAATCAATCTTACTTGTTAGACAAGATATTGTCTAAAAAAATTTTGATTGAGGTTGATGCTAATATACTGTAAGTGCAATTATTAGACTTTTCCAAGTTACCGTCTTATAAGTTCCGCCTCTCGCAGGTTTCGCTGTAGAGGAGGGCAGACAAAATGGATCACTTAACTTTTAGTAATTAAATAAAACACTAAATTGAGCAATACTTAAACGTATATTGTGGTTGATATTATGGATCTTCTTGCACTTACCATGATCCAATTATTTTTTCGTTAACTATGTAATACAAGAAAAAAATAACGTTAATCTCGGGTATTGCAAACGATTCACTTTAACTAAGTAAAAAGAGAATCACCTTTATGAAAAATCTATGAAACACTCAGTAATTTTTTTTTTTACTTTTTTGATCTCTGCAGAATGAATGACATTACATTACTCTAAACACAGCATAAAATAATGAGTTCACTTTGGTTATATAGGCAGTTAATTTGGTTTTTTACCTAACGAAGAGTACAGGCATCTGTACTTTTCATTTGAAGAAAACAGTGCTTTTCAGCATTGTTTGACCTCAAATGTCGATGCAATATAGCCTAATTTCGTTATTAGAAAGTAATGTATGATCCACTTTTTTCCATATATTCAATTTGCTTGGCCTTCTTCTTTATATGTATACAGTACATATTAAAAAATTATAATTTATTATCTAATAAAATCAATAAATTGCGGTGTAACCCGTTAAAGTGCTCAGGTATTAGTGTCCCGGCGGTCACTATACAAAAGATGTAATTTGCGTACCCTAGAAAAGTATGAATAGTTTTGGTTTCGATTTTGGCTTTAGTCAAACGTAGAGATGGATTTAGAGAAACATAACAGAAAAGTAGAGTATTTAGCATATGGGATACATCCATCTTGTGCCACCAGGACCATTGAGAGTTTGTATTGGGCCCGGGTCGATCCCTTTAGCCATTTTTCTTTTTTGAAGATATGAAATATGCATAGTGTTTCTTTATTAATAAGAACAATTTTAAAGGTTTTATTTTCTATTAGTAAAAATAACATTAATTTTATAGGGGTAGGAATCACTACGACCCGTAAGTTTTCTCCACATCCGGGAAAAATTTCAGTTCCTCCTCTCGACGGTACTGTGTGCCACTGATAATGAAAAACGAATAATCGGACACTGGGAACAACGGTTCATCTTAAAAACGACAGAATATTATATCATATTTGCGATGGTAAGCATTGAAAATTAATTGCATTAGTAAAGACAGTTTGATTTATTTGTTTACAGCAACACGACACTGGGACAATCTGCCTCCTGGGAGGTCTTATGGAAAACTAGTCCTTATTTTGTTACAAACGTGAAGAAACCAGTTCGTTGGCGAGGCGTGAACTCATGACCAGTATTCAGTGGCGTTATCCACTCGGCCACTGGTGGACTAGTAAAGACAGTACATTCGTTAGAAAACCGTTTGTCTATTATGTATAAATAATATTAAAGACTTATATTTAATGTAATTAAACAAAATTTAAGTTAACAACATTTTTTTAAACGATATTTCATTACTGAAGTTAAAGATATTTTTAAAAAGTTTAGCAACAAGTCGCGTGAAACTTTCCTGGCAAGAGTTAAAATTGTGTGTAACGTCATCTTTTATGAGATTTTGTTTTAAAAACTTTTTATATTAATTATTATAAAATGGCAAAATGCTTAAAGGATAGAGATGAGTTTTATTTTAAAAAGAGGTAAATGCTAATAACAAGTAAAATAATCATTAAATCCGACCCCACTCGAGAAATGACACATGACCATCTAGTCTCCTTCAACCTGTAATACCAAACTTTCATAGGATCAATCTCTAATATATAAATGTCAGTGCAAAATTTCGGAAAGTTTCGACAAAAGGCACAGAAGTTGTTAAGAATTTTTATATATTATAATATTATTTAAAAGTATGTGAATACTTTAATAAAATGAACTTTGTTTATACTGTATATAATATTATTGAATTCAACTTTTATCAATTCATCTTAAAATTAATTTATTATCAAAGTAAATATCTCATTCATTTTTAAGTATAAATTATTATTTTAAAATTTTCTTTGTTGACTCATTGCGTAATATACTTTACATATATTAATTAAATTTTAAATGAAAAGTTACTTTGTTATTCATATAGACATAGCAGTTACGTCACTAAATTATCATTAATGATCATAAAATTATCGTGAATGAGAAGTTTGATAATTAATAAATTAATTACTATATTTGCATTCTATTAAATTTAAAGTATTTAATTTAATCGTCATGATGATATTCTATCTATGTTTAAACTTTAGCTAATATTTACATTAATTTTAATAATTTGTCAGTTTGATTAGCCTATATTGTATGGTTTTCAAGATAATTTCACTTTCATCGTTAAATATTTTACTTACAAAAATTACTTCAGTTATAGACAATAAGGCTTTACTGTTTTGATGTTATAAAATGAATTACCGTTTATCTACTGTATGATACTTTATTATTTGGGCGAGATTGTTTCTGTTGTAGTATGTTACAATGGCGTTTAATACAAATTTGCTAATGGTTTAAAATTATTTACAGCAAGATAACTTCGTCTAAAGCTGCTAATATAATTGTATTTTAATACCAATGTCTAATTTCCATAATTTTGATACTATTTCTATAATTTTGTTCCAATTACAATGTGTTTATTTTAAACATTTTTACTATCTATTATACTAAATCAGGATTCTTACCTGTTTTTGTTCCATGGATCCCCTTTTCTAGTCAGGTAAAAGTCACGGATCCTTCTCGGAATAATGTTTTTAAATGCATAAAATAAAAGAAACTGGCTATATAGAAATACATTTATTAAAATAAAAAATAACACATGATATGGTAATATATGGGCCTCATTCTTAACACAATAATTAACAATTCCACACAATAACACAAAATTAAGATAATAAGTTAATTTTCCTTCCAATCCTACGGACCCCTGAAAACCCTTGGTTAAGAACCACACTACTAGATAAACATTTAAATTATTGAATTGAATTTTTCTTTAAACATATAAATATTAAAAGCATATTTATTACTATCTTAAAATTTCAAAATAATGCAAAAAATTATAATCTAACAAATTCTTGTGGACTAGAATCTGAATTTTTGTTACTTTTACATATAAGGAAATGAAACTGAAGTTCTTTCAAGAGCTACAGGAAAAAGTCTGATGAAACACATTTTGATACTAGATTTCCTTGTTATTCTAAAAGAGGAAGTGGAGTGTTCATTATAAAATTATAATTATAATTTTTTTTCTCGACAATTCGACATCCGCCATTAATCTCAATTATTTTTAAATGGAAAATTTTATAATGTCCAATAAATTATTTTTAAAAGGAAACTAATTTATGATTTAATTTTTCTAATATAAAATACTTAATTTTTATTTTTTCGGAAATTTTAAACATTAATATTAAGCTTAAAATTTTAATTATAAATTCTATTTTTTAAATATTTGCTTTTAAATCTCTAATTTATTTGTTAGTTTTTTATTTGTTATTTTGTTTTTTTTTGTTTTGTTTGTTTGTTTTGTTTTTAGTTTGTTATTTTTTTTACCTTTATTTGTTAGTTCTTATTTCATGTAAATTTTAAATAATTTAAAATTCAATTTAAAATTTATAACTATATCATTTAAATAATTAACTTTTAAATGTATCATAGAGTTTTTGTTTATGGAACTTTCCTCCGTGGGTACTATAATCATCGTAGATTCGGCCAGGCCCACAATGGAGCAGCCGGGTGGTGAGAGACAGGCTCGACCCTTTCAGAATGAACCATCCTCAAAAAATTTCTAGGATAGTCCGTCTGGATTTGTTCCTGAATCTCCCAAAATGGTAGGCAAGGTTCAAATTAAAATTGTATTATTTGGTCTGAAATTTGAAAAAAACTGTAGATCTATAAATTCCCATTGTCGCCTATCTGTCTGTCTGTCCTTCCTTAGTCTCGAGAACGGAGTTAGGTAGATGAAAGTCCGGAATTGTAATGATGTTTTTTTTTTCTTATTATATAATAACAATTAATACGTTTTTATAATTAAGTCACCAAAATTCTATGAATCTTTTCTCTGATTGGCTGCAACTGAAATTGAATATTGTTAGGAGTGACGTCAGCGATATCGATCACTACACGATTATTTAAAAAGAATTTAACCAATTATAGCATGACTTTCATTTTCAAAATTATATCTAAGTCTTTTTCGATTTTAATTACTTTAACGAAACTACGCAATTTAGAAATTAAGTATATCTTAAATTTAGATTAATAGTAAAAGTTAACATTACAGAATTTCAATATTTAACACTTAAATTTTACATTAAAATTCATTGTTTAATAATATTATTGGGTACTTTAACAAAATTTTGAACTTTAATGCTATTTTGATAATAATGTTAAATTTAGCAAATTTTAACATTAATTTGTGTTTTCTGTTTTATGAATAACTATATACAGTAGGAATGTTACTAGTTATGCAATTTAATATTTATTTTATTAAAAATCTTTACATTTTAAAATTATAACTTATATATATAGTGGAAATATTTTTAATAAATAAGCTAGCGTGAATCACAGACACATTAAAAAAAATTTGAATCACGTAACTATAAACATTAGATTTGTTTTAATTTTATTATATAATTTTTATTATATATCTTTGCCTTTAACTTTTATAAAGTTAATATAAATATTAAAAAAATTAAAGTTATTTGATAGTAAAAAGCATAAAATCATTAAACATTCTACATAAATCTTTTAAAAATTATTAAAAATACATTAACTATAAAAATTTTATATTTAAAATATTAAAATCGAAACAATTTTGTTTATTTATTTAATTTTGCAATGATTAAATATTATTTTCGTCGCTAAACCTCTTTTTGTGGTTAACAAAATAAAAAAAAACAATTATCTTTATTAAGTATTATATTTATAGAGGAACAGAGTTATTTCTTAAATAAATAAAATGTAATTTATCCTTCGGTTATAAAACCTAATTTTAGATATGATTTCTATTTTGATGGTAAAAAAATATTTGTCTTGTTATTTTATCGTAATAAAAATTAAAAGATTAATTAATAAAGTTCTGTAATTATTATTGTAACTAATTAACTAGAAAAAATTCGTAGACTAAATAAAGTAAAATAAAATAACATTTTTTACATTTAAACCTTTATTCTGCATAATTACATAATTGAATCAATTGATGGTAATGTTTATTATGATAATGCAATAACAAACGAACAACCATTTTATTAAAAGAGATCAAATTTGTTCATTAAATAAACATACCTTAATTACATTTGATAAGTGGATAATTCTTAAGCTTCTTACATTCTCTTGTAAGCATCTCTCTTGTAGTTTCCTTAAGGTTTGTTATGATTTGTCTTATATCTGACACTTTCCATTATTGTGAATGAATCGAGGAATGCGCTCTTATAAAATATTAATTCACTATACTGTTGTTTAATTATTACACTATCTATTCAAGGATATTGTATATATGGAGATATTACATCATCCTTATATACACTCTAATTTCTTCTTCAAGTTAATGTTAAAATCATGTCACGTAAACATCCAGTCATGTCTCGCTAGAATTTAAAAATTTATATATCTTTCCTTATTAATAAAAAATTAATTAAATATGTCATTCAAACTTTAATTAAATTTTTGATTTTAGAAAATTGTTAAAGTTAGGAATTTATTATTTAATTTACAAATAAAAGTAGAATATAAACTATATTACTTTAGTAAGAATAGCTTAATATAAATGTTAAAAGGTATGCAACGCATTTCCCGTCTGATGAGGCGCAAACCTATGTTTATTATTTTTTGTAACCTTTAACCTGTTGAATTCCTTTCCTCTCTCTTCATCTCAGTCGATATGTAGTTGTCGACCCTGTAGCTATAATCGAATAGAGTTAGAATTAAAGTTATAACCCTTAAAATGTCATCAATTTGCGTGTTTGCCTCAAGTAATCACGAGAATTGGGAAATTAAAGGCACTAACACAAAATTTCGTCTAAGGCCGAACACCGAACAACAACATCCTTTAAAATTAGTAAAAATTCTCCACCTTTTACATATATTTTAGATCTCGTTTAAATGATTTTCATCTTTTTTCAAAGCATTCATAATCTATTTTAAAATTAGATTAGCTCTTGCAATGATGATTTATTTAGCTTATTTATTATATTTAAATATTATTATTATTTTGCATTATTTATTTTATATTTTTTGATATAAAGTACTTTTTAATTTATTAGATATATTCAAAAATGTTAATTATGTCGTCGACAGAAAATTTCTTTCTTGACAAGGCAACCAAAATCTTAAAATGCATTAATTAACACGGTAATTAAATTATTTTCATGTAAAAATTTTTATTTTATAATATCTTATTACATTTTTTAAATTTTAAAATAAATATTATTTTAGATATTTAAAATGTTTTAAATAGCTTTTCTTCTTTTAAGTTAAAAAAAACTTTCAAAAATTGTTGACATGATAATGTTTATAAATAAAAATCTCAAGCTTACTTTGATTATTCCACGTAATATAATGTATATGACAGAAATAAAACTTTATATGAATTTTATCGTATAAAGTGTAAGAGGTCCTGTCAATATTTCCTGTCATGTTCATTAAGAAGAGGAAATCGGAATTCCTTGTACTGTACTTCGTTTAAAAAGATAAAAAATAAATGGTTAAAATGGTTCTTTAAATCGATGTTTTGCTACATTTAATCAAAATACTGTATATACTCAGAATATATTTTTCAATTTTTCTTGACGTAATAAATGTCTTTTTTAAAGAAATTTAAAAATTATTCTTACATTATATAACACTTTCCAAGTTTTTAAGCAAAAAAAGATTAATTTAAAAACGAATTTTAGCTCATAACTTTTAAATTTATTCAAAATATAAAAGTCATACATAAATTTATTATATAAAAATTAATATTTAATTTAAATGTAATTATTTATTTATTATAATTCTATATGTTTTCTTATAAATAATATGTTATAGATTGTACAGTTTCACTGTGTGACCTCCCTTCGCTAAAAATGTACAATATTGATATTTCTTGAAGGGGTGTGACTGTTATCTTGATTCTCGAGAGTATTTTTTCCTGCAATATAATAAATTAAAAGACATCTGATATATTTTTATTTATTAAGATAATGTTCATATGCATTAAATCTAGCTAGTCTTTACAGCAGAGGTCATATAGGAAAATATTTAAATTCTTAAAAATTTAGTGTTAGAAACTCTCGAGAATATTATCTAAACATATTCATGTTTAGATACAGTAAAACATTGTTTATCTCAATTGTCGCATAGGTTAAAATGTAACCCTTTCGCTAGCTTGACATTATGCTCTTGGTAGCTCCATTTAATAAATTTAATTAATCAACTCACATTTTAAAGCACTTTTACTAATGACTTATTCTAAGTTTATTAATTTTACAAATTTTTCATTAACTTATTCTATGAAAAGTTATATTTTGTAAATAATTTTGTTTAACAGAATTAAATTGATAACAGAACGCTTTTAATAGTATTTTATCAGTCCAAAATTAATTATTAAATGAATTTATAATCATAAAAATTTCTTAAAAATAAATTATGTTTGAATAATACAAATTGGAATTAAAAAATAAACTCTAACTAAATTATAAATATAATAATACTTGCTCAGGGATTG